CCCATTCAAGTACTAACAGGCAAACAATTATCTCTTAGCATCAGACTTCTGTCTGCTAGAATAACAGCATTAATCTTTTTTCACTTTGACATAATGTATGTGAAGCATTTGGAGCAAACTAAGGACATACCACATGCAGGCAATGCACTTCAAAGTCTACCAAGTGCCACAATCTACAAGATTAATAACAGTAAGGCTATCAGTCACTGGGAGTAACAATTGAAAAAGGTACTGTCATGTGGTATTACTTGTTGGCTTTGCAGAAGTATCTATCGCTACTGTGACAAATAGAATGCTGAACCAGACCAGGCTTTGGTCAGACTAACCAAAACTTTTCTTGGATTCTTAAACCTCTCATCCATTTGTTCCCCATCCTTATGCCATTTATACAATTTAAAATGTCTGGAAGAATGATGTAATTTGAATATATGCTGAACAGGTAAAGATAAAGGTTTCCCTGTCCAGTCATAGCTGTCTCTGTGGTGCTCATCTCTGTTTCTTGGCCAAGGTAGTCAGCATTGTCCCAAGACATTTTCCGTGGTCATGTGGCCAGCATGGCTATACATCAGAGGCACATGGAACACAGTTACCTTCCCACCAAAGTGCTACCTATTAATCTACTTGCATATGCATGCTTTTGAAGTGCTAGGTGGGCTGGAGCTGGGGCAGGAACGGGAGCTCGTCCTGTTGTGGGGCATTCAGGTTTCGAACCCAGGCTGTCAGTTTTCCAGCTGACAAGCCCAGTGTCTTTAACCACTGAGCCAATGTGCCCCCTTCTATGCTGAACAGTAAAACAGAATTTACTTAGAAAACTTGAAAATGCAAACCCATAAAAAGCCCAAAAGAAACACTGTAGTTATTTAACAGAAGAAAATGCACATAGAATATTTTATTTTCCCCCTCTTAAAAACGAATCACTTCTTAATGGAGCCAAACCGCAGGAGCCTTCAACTATTGCCAATGCAACTTAGAGTTTCTGTTTAACTGAGTGTGTATATTGTGAATTGAAATGCCCGGTCTTATTGCAACAGGCAAAACATAACACCGCACTGGCAGTTCAATGTAGAAAGGGGGGAAAAAGGATTTATTTCTAGTAGCATTTAAAAACTGTACAACAGACTCTGAAAAGAGCTAGATAGGAAATTACAACACTAGAAAATTGCGACAAGGCCAAAATCAGTACTAATGTATAACTTACAAATAAGTGAATGGAAAGAGGAGATGAATAAGAGGATAGTAGAAATAAAGTACTGTATATATTTCAGGAAATGGGATCTTTTTATAACAAATTAAAGTGAAGGGGAAAAATGCAATTTAGGTATATTCTAAAGTAAACAAATTAAAAAATACAGGTAGTTCTTGATTTACAACCCTTTGTTCAGAGACCATTTGAAGTTATGATGGTGCTGAACAAAGGGATTTATGACTGGTTCTCAAAGTTCCAGACAATGCAGCACCCCACAGTCACATGAACAAAACTGAAGGGCTTGGCAAGCAGCTTGCACTTATGACTGGTTGCAAAATCCTGCGGTCACATGACTGCCATTTGCGACCTTCCCTGCTGCCTTTTCCACAAGCAAATTCAATGGGGGAAACTTGACATGAACGATCACAAGTCTTTCACAAGGCCTCTCCGACCCTCCTGCAAGCACTCCTGCACAGGCAGACTCCCTTCACTTCCCACTTAACGACCTACACTACTGGAGTTATCACAACAATCAGGAATGCTTGGAATGTCGTCTCTAAGCGATGCGGTCACATGATGACCACATCGCTTTATGACCGCATCATTTAGCAATGGCAATTCCGGTCCCAATTGAAGTCCTAATTTGAGGATTGCATGTGTCTGTCCTAAAGGATAAACTCCACTAGCCTAAATTATACAGCTGATCTAATTTGTAACCCACGGAATATTATAATGATTTGCATACTGCCAGAGAAGTAAATAACACCTTGTCCCAGAGAAGAGGAACTGCTCCATTTTTAATTAAGGGCATTTCTATAGCTAGAAGGAACAACACACCAAGCTCTTGGATCAGAAGGAACCAAAAGGCCGGATTACAAGAGGCAAACTGGTCCAAAGCTTGAGGTGGGCGGAGGTAAATAACCACCAGCAGCGCCCCCCAGGTCTCCCTGGGCTTCCTTTAATCCCAAGAGCCGGGCTGTCCACCTGATGAACCCTTCGAGGCAACAGAACAGCCCCGCCACAGCTTTTCAACCCGGTCCCGCCGCCGTTTCCAGCCCCGGATCCCCGATGCTCAGCCGATCAGGTTCAAAGCCAGCCGGCTCTGTCTGTCGCCCTCCTCCACCCGCTCAGACTTCCCATCCAGGGCTGGTCATGATCCCCCCCCCCACATTCGCCTTCCTCTCCAGCGGTGCAAACTCTTCCCCACCTGCCTTTCACCCGCCCGCCACCCGTTCCTAACGCGCCTTCCTTCCCAGGCAAGGCAAGACTCCAGCCGCCTCGGCCGCCGCCCCCCCCCCCTTGCCCAACGGCAGGAAAGAGGGCAAGGGTTACTCACTCAGCCAGGACTCCAAGCTTTCCCCTTCCGCCTCCGCCATGTTGCCGGCTGGCTCGGAGACTCCGCCCCCCGCCCCCTCCGATCAGGTTACGCCACGGCTGCGCCGAGCCGACCAGGCACCGCCTAAACCCTCGGAAGGTGGGGAGAAGGCAGTGGGGGTGGTTGGTGGGGGGGGGGGGAAGGTCCGCGTCTCGTCCTTTCGCAGCGCCCTCTGGCGGCGGGCGTCGCTCACTACTTCATTTTCTGTGATCAGGTAGTCTTTATTCTTGCTAGCATTGACATTCCCGCATCTCCCGGTTCGCTTGTGCGGTCGCCTTTTTCAAGTACGTCGGGTGTGGTTGAAAAAAAAAATTTTCTACTTAATAAGAAAAAGCAGAAAGATTTCCCCTAAATCCCTGCTTTCCGCCCTTGGCAAATTAGACCTCAAAACTGATAATAAAAATCAAGATTGTATGTCCTGTTTACTATAGGACAAATTCAGCAGATTATCTTAAAACTGCTTTTCAAAATTTAATTTTTTTAAAAAAATTCCACCTATATAACGTAACGATCCTAAAAGGCCACAATTTTTCTTCAAGATCACAACCCAGTTTACATAAAGCCGTCCTTCTATATAAGAGGCATTCCTAGGAAAATAAAATAGAATAAATTGTAATCCAGAGGTTTGTTTGCTGATATATAGGTGCTTTGTGATTGGCCACGCCTACCATGGCAACTGTGTTGTAAGAATTTGCAGTCATATATTCTTAAGATTCCAAATGTGCACTCTGACTCAAAAAGTTGAGATCCCAGGAATATGTACCACTGGCTCTCTTGCTGAGACAATGAAAAATTTAATAGATCTTCATCTCTATAAGGATTTAGAAGAACCTGCGTGGACCCATCCACCCGCATGAAATATTTTCTTAAGATTTTCTTAATCAGATGCCTTCTGGAATTTTGCATTCAGGCTTTTAAGACCATAACTCCATTGTCTACCTTTCCCACCACTGGCATTTATTAGCATTTTTACAGGACAAAAATTTCTATCCCACTTTAGTATTTTAAAAAACTTCAGTTATTTAAAAAAGCTATATAATTAAAGGAAATGATAGAACAAATACAATAAAATGAGATTAGAAAATAAAGAGACTGAAATTTAGCAATATGATAAGACAAATGTCTATGAGAACAAGGTTTATCACTGTTATTTTTTTGACTGCCAATGTTACATCCTATTTGTAAATTTGGTAGATATTATTCAGTTATGACAACCAATACTTGCTTGTCCTTTTGTTTGTAACAGCCTGTTTTTCCAGGTACAAATCTTTCCAATTCATATTAAAATAATATAATTGTTCAATAAAAAAAATCATTTTTAAAAAATCAATTGTTTCTGTGGAACAAATAGCCCTAAGGGAAGAATGGAAGAAGTTAGTTTGAACAGGCTCTGAGATGGTCTTCAACTGCCTTCCGCAGTTTTCTTCTGTACTAGCCAATGATACTTTCCCATGACTAACTCATATTTAAAGCCATCTGAACTAAGGGATTAACACACTTCAGCTTGTACTGTAGCCATGTTCTTCTTTTTCCAGCGTGTTCCAGCTAGTGCAGGGTCAGCTTGTACTGTAGCCATGAATTCCATAAATCTATAGGGTATCAAGTGAAGTCTTTTCTTTTCCTGAATCCCCTTTCCAATTTATTGGATAACCCCAAATTCTTAATTTTAAGCAGAAAGTAAAACTTCGTACTCCCTTTTTTTTTCTCCTACAACTAAAAATAAGAACTAAGTTTTGTGAACATTCTACGTTCAAGATTTTTCTCGGACTGTTTGTAATTTTAGTCATCACTTTCATTTATTTATTTACTTGTTCTTTTCTGCACTCTTTCCAGAGTTCTTTAGTGATGGGCAAAAACACACCGTTTTCACCTCCCTCTGTAATAAATACACTCTGCATACCAACTACAGCATAGTTGATCCAAAACTGATCAAAGGTGGCTTACAAAACGCATTTGGCACGGGCTGTATAGCTTTCCATAGTTTTTCGAGAGCGAACTCCCCGCAACCATAGGACAAACTATGGCCAAGTAGCAACGACGAGTCTTTATTCCTAGCGTGGCCCAACCTTCCACAATACGGCGCCTTCCAAAGAGGGTGTGAGGGTTACAACTCCCGCCGCTTGGCATTTTGGGAGCTGTAGTTCCAAGTCCCATCCCAGCCGACTTGCTCAGTTGCGTTTTCCTTAGAACCTTTTCTTTATGCCAGTTTCTCAACCTTGGTAGCTTGAAGATGGGTGGACTTCAACTCCCAGAATCCCCCAGCCAGCGCACACACCAAGAAGGGAACGTTAGCATATCCAGCTGTCTCAACAGGAATAACCCTCTCCGTTTAAGCACGTTAAAAAGCAAAGAAGGAATCGCCCGCCTGTTTTTTGGGGGGGGCAGAACTTCCCCGCTGATGGCTACGTCACAAAGGCTCATGGAATGGAGGGGGGGAGAGCCCCTTCCCCGGAAGGCCGTTTCCAGAGCAACGGAGCTCCTCCCCCTGGCGGTCCTTTGGACAGCCCTCGATGAGGTCCTGAAGGAAGATGGCGTCCCCCGCGATGGAGAAAGTGGGGCGCCTGGTCCAGCAGCTCCGTGGCTCTCGGAAGCTCTGGCTCCCGGGTAAGGAAGGGAGGAGCAGCAAAGAAAGTGAAAGGCTTGAGACGATGCCATGCAATGGAGAGAGGAGGGTTGGATTTCATTTTGGTTCCCTAACCAGAATGACAACTTAGCATTATGGCTCCTCGCAAGCAGCATGCATGGCAGGCGGGAAGGTGCATAGAAACGGTGGGAGGAAATCCTCAAATGCCTTCTGTGAAATTAAAATTAAATTACCCTCGTCTCCTAACGTGGCCACATGCAATGTTCTGCAAGTGGTTTGCGTGGCTTCTTCCTTTTCCCCTTTTAATCTTTTCAAGGTCAGCCAAGTAGCATGCAATGCCTAAACCAGAGGTCTTCAAACTTGGCAGCTTTAAGACTTGTGGACTTCAACTCCCAGAATTCTCCAGCCAGTTATGCTGGCTGGAGAATTCTGGGAGTTGAAGTCCACAAGTTTTAAAGTCCACAAGTCTTAAAGCTGCCAAGTTTGAAGACCTCTGGCCTAAACTCATTGGGACCAACTGGGTTTATTTCCGCTCACTTTTGTTTGGGCTAAAGTTGGGCGTTGCACCCGAGAGACTGGACCAGGGAGACTTGCATCTGAGAAAGGGAGCTTACATGGCAGCATTCTAAATTTTCATGTCCTGGAGGTTGAAAATCTCGGTGTTGACAACCGTTTTCTGCTCATCAAATCCTTTGTAGGCTGACTCAAGTCAGGTGGACCCGATACAATCCTACATATATTGATCCAGAAGTGAATAAAGAAAGTTACCGTAAATCTCCAGAGGAAATGTCAGAGGAGGAAAAAAATAAACGGCAGTTGAAAACAATCCAGCCAGTAAAAGCCACCGAATCCAGCATCACCAGTTCTGTGTTTTATGATCCCGCGATCAGGTTTGGGGTTTTTTTTAAAATTTTAATACTAATTAATATTAAAAATTACATTTATAATGATACAAACTAAAAATAAAAAAGTGGTGCAGGAAAAATTATTTAAAAATAGAAAAAGAATAAAAAATAAATAAAATAAAATAATTTATTCAAAAGATAAAAATACATAATTCAAAATAAATTGATAGAGACAAAACTAAACAAGAACATTAAAAAAGTGAAATAAAAAGGTCAAAAAACAAAACCCCCTCCTAATTAAATACTGACAAATTGTTTGCAGCAAGTTCAAAATTTATAAGCTTCTACATCTATTTGCAATACAATTGACCTGTCATACTTTATATATTTGAAAGAAAAAATAGTTAACAGGTTAAACAACAAAAAGTTAGAATTCAGAGCTTTCTGTTAATAGTCTGTTTCCTATAAATTATTTGTAGAAAGTTTACAACAGTTTATTTACCACAAATTACCCCAATCATTATCCCTGATTTGTCCAGGATCAAATATCCCCATATGGTTCTTAATAATGAAACTTTTCCTTAGGTTTTTAATTGGGAATTTTCCCAACAATTGCATCTCATTTCCAAAGTTCATTAGTCTCTGTTGCAAATGTCTCTGTAGAATTCATTGTTGAAAAATTCTCCTTAAAAACACAGCATTTCTCTTGCCAAGAAAGTCCAGTCCATCCTTCATCAATTCCATATTTCTGAATTTTTAGTATTCATATTCCTTTTAATCTTTTGTGGCAGATGTGCATTTTTCAAACCAAGTGCTTTCTTTTTCACATCTGACAGAAGCAGCTCAGGTTCCAAATCAGATTCCAATTCATCATGTTGCAAATCAATCCAATTATTATTTCCTACTTTTGAATATTATGTTGAATTTGCACAGCCATTGTTGATCCATCCAATTGTTTGTTTATGTTTTCAAATAATATCTATAAGTTGGAGAGTATTAGTTACTTAATATGTTATGGAATCATACTTAGATGATTGAGTACTACAAGTAGTCCTTAACTTATGACAATTGGGATCAGAATTTCCATTGCAAAGGAAGGAGGTTGTTAAGTGAATCGCATCTGATTTATGACCTTTTTGCCATGATGTTTAGCCAAACCATTGCAGTTCTTAAATGCACCACGTTGTCATTAAGTGAATCCAGATTTCCACTCTGATTGTTGGAAGCCAGATGGGAACATTGGAAATGGTGATCATATGACCCTGGAACACTGTAACTGTAATAAATACATAGTGGTTGCCAAGTGCCCAAATTTTGATTATGTGATAAAGGAGGAGGAGGCAGTACAACAGTCATCAGTCTGAGGACTGGCCACAAGTCACTTTTTTCAGTGTCATCATAACTTCAAATATCATTAAACGGATGGTTTCAGTTGAAGACTATCACACTTCTGTTTTGTCATTACAGCAGATTCATTAACATGATGATGAAAGGAAGCAATAAAATTTTGGCACGTACCCTCATGAATCAGGTACAATTTATGTTTCACATGCTTTTCCTTGATTATTGCCCATATGGGAAGGAAATAATATCCCTATTTCATGGTTATATTAAAAAGTGCTTATCCTTCTTTTAATAATCTATTGCATATTCAGTTATTTCCTCGGTTTGCTTATTACCAAATGTCAAAAGAATCATAAATTATATGTAGGTCCCTGATAATGCACCATATTTTTAAACCTGCCTTTCAGAATTATTGTGGAAGCAGGGTCGGAATTTTTCTAAGGCCTTTTTAATTTTCTTTTTTTAAAATAATTTTTATTGCTTTTAAAAGAAAACAAAAAGACAAAAGTAACAAAAAACAAAGATACAGTACATTATCAAAAAAAGCCATAACAAGTGCTTAAAAAGTAAGAGAAAGAATACAGAAACAAATAGAATGTACTGTACAATTGTACAGTATATATAATTATCTAAAAAAAACATATAAGTGTATGCATGTGTGTCACTGTATATTCATTCTAATTTATAATTATGCTTTTTAAGGCCATTTTGATAGACAGTATAATTGTAGAAGTCAATAGCTTTGAGAACTGAGAAAATCTTTGTTACATCTAGTAGCCAAGGAGAGGTTGGGGTTTTGATCTTTGAATCTTTCTCAAATGTCATGGATTTGTAAGTTGCATACCCTTGCAAAACAAGATGTGTTTTGTAACACTGATTAGTGTCCATCTGCATATAGAAATTAGTTCCATGTTGAATAAATTGTATTGCTGAGTGAGCAATCCTTCCTTTATTTTTGTTTGTGATTAAGACTTTAGAGGCCATTAAAAGGAAGCAACTTGCGAAATATCATGAAGCAGATGAGGAAATGAAAGAAAAAATTGAGTGCAACCCTTACAAAATCTTCCATCAAGCAATCGAAAACTGCCAACCTGTAATTGGGCTTTCAGGTATCATAAGAGGAGGTAAAAAGTATCAGGTAAGGTATAAATAAAGAATGTCGAGTTAACATAATGCATTGAGTTTTTAAAACCATTATTTAGTGACACTGCCACAATGACCAACTTTGCACATAATACATAGTTATAAATACCAGCTTATAAACCACAATCACCTATCCAGCCAAACCAAGCCAAGCCAAAACCAAACAATATGATGGTTTATAAAATAGGTAATGAGTCCTTTAAAGAACTAACACTATGGTGTCAGGCACATCTAATTTCCTCCAACTCAACCAAGTTGGGTTTGCATGTTTTGTAACTTAAATATGAAATTAGATCAATAATATAAAAATTCATGGTTCCATTGGGATTCAAAATACTTCTGTTTCCATCTATGGATTGGCAGGTTTGCTGCTGTCAGAAAAAGCAATACTACACTGAATTTGTGCTACATAAATTTTATTGAGACAAAAGTTTACTTGCAATTTTTTTCTTTTGAGTTGCCTTAAAATTGCATGGCATCATTTTCAGTGGACCCAGATTCTTGCATACATTTCTGTATATTTATATATAAGACAAAAAAATTTCTGAGAATTTCCTCTTGCATTTTGAAAAGTTCATAACATTGCGGAAGACAGTCTTCATCCACTTTAGTTCTAAGTTGAGATCCCAGAATTGTTGCACTGATTTATAGGGCCACCCTGATGTTGCTTTGCAACATGTTTTGTATCTGGGTGGCATACCAAAAGCAAACCATAACACATGCAAAATATTCACACAGCATTAAATACTTTTTGTAACAGAACTCTTGATTTCAACATTTTTTTGAAGACAAATATGTAGGTTTGTTGTAAATTTAATTAGCATGCTATGATAGTAAAGTATATTGAACCCCGCCTTTTGCTTTTTTCAGGTACCAACTCCTTTAAAGATTAGTCGGCGGAGATTCTTAGCCATGAAGTGGATGATCACAGAATGCAGAGAAAACAAGCACAGGCGAACATTACTGCCTGAAAAGCTCTCAAATGAGCTGCTGGAAGCCTCCAACAATAATGGCAACGTGATAAAAAAAAAGCATGAGTTGCACAAAATGGCAGAAGCTAACCGGGCCTTTGCTCATTATCGATGGGCGTAAAGAATGTGCTGTTGGATCCAGTGTATGATGACTTAAGGCTTTTGCTACCAGAAAAGACAACTTTTCGTTGTTCTAATTCCATTTGCTTTTCTTTGCATATCACTAATCTGAGCAGAAAATTGCCTGCTTCTCATTCAACTCTCATCAAAGAATATGAGCTGAAGAAAATCAGGGTCCCCCTTTTCAAGCTCACATAGGGAGTGGTTTTGAGTATGTCACGTCCCAAATGATATAAATACAAATCATTGTTTATTTTCAACTCTTGTGTTCATCAATTTCCATTCATGTTTTGGAAAACTAACAAGCAGGTGATTGAAGGCGATCAGAGCTGAAAAATAGTAAAAATGGAAACTTTCTGTTTTGTTCCTTGTATATCTCGTGAAGAAAAACCTTAATATTGTAGGTTCTTTGCTGAAAATAACATGAATGAGAGATCAGTAGAATGAATGTCTCTGTTTACATATATGTTATGGGCAGAATAAATGACACAATTTTTATCCTTAAAATACAATGAGTGGTGGGGGGTTGCCAAAAGTCTTATCTGTCTGCATCCAGTATAATAATTACTATATAGTTTATTCTACCTCATTTCTATTTAAATAACATGTACTGATTTTAAATTATAAACCCCTTATCTACAACACACGAATTCTACTTGATTGAAATATTTCAAGCTTGCTGATACCTTCTGGAGGTAGCAAGCAAGAATGCCAAACATTTTAATATTTCCATTTATTAATAAAATATATACAACAGATGACCTAAACCTGGTGTAGGAATTACAGCAATAATGAACTTCTTTAGAAGAAGAAAATAAATTACTAGATTAAAACCCTTTTTATTTTTAGGTAACATTAATTTGCTTGGCTGCATTTAGGGGTGATCTGATTTTTTAATCTGTATCTGAGTGGTTTCAGGGGCATCAGCGATACCTAAAGATAAATTATCAAACTGAATTTAAAGTATTATTAGCAACAGAATTGGTTAGATGGAACTAAAAATAGTATTTGGGGGAAAATAATTTGCCTCTGGTAAAAATCATCAGTCACCAAGTCCAGAAGTAAGTTTCTTATACATTCAAAACCCCAGAAATCTCTCTCAGGGTTGGACATAACTTTGTTCCATGGTCAGCCAGTGTAATAGGTGGTCTGAAGTGGTAAATTCCCATTCCCGTAAAAGAAAACTCCAACTTTTACCACAAAGTATATTGTTTTCCTTGAATTAAAAATGGCAAACAGAAATGTGCCTTTATGGGCTATCTTGGAATTATCACATTTAGTCCTTTTCAAAAATTGGAAGATGCTGAGTTTCTAGGTTTTTTTAAGTATAGAATCCCCCCATCTTCTCTACTAGCTACTAAGGATATGACAATTGTCTTGTGAATTTATCAATGATAACTTAATTTGGGGAATGGGGAGCCAAGCTTAAAAATTTCAAGGCAATTCTTTACTTGGAGAATCTAGATCAGGGGTGTCAAACTTGCGTCGTCACGTGACATATCGCAACCTTTTTCCCTCTTCGCTAAAATGGGGGTGGGCGTGGCCAGCGTGTGACACATCTGGCCCACAGGCCGTGAGTTTGACACCCCTGAACTAGATGAAGGATGAAGTGTATACCATGAATCATTAAATAGGGCCAGAGAGTCATCATCTGAGGAGTTGCATTGTAAGCACCAGTGTTCATTGTGGAAAAAGCATATAATTGTTACTATAAATATGTTGCTGCATTAACCTTTTCCTGCAGGCATTTCATGTGTGATTGATTAAATATGTGCCATCTAGTTAGTTTCAGCTCTTGGTAGCTACATAAATTTTCCCTGTATTTGTTCCTAACCTGGTTCTTCAGGTTTTCCAGCAATGCATTCACTGTCACTGTAACTAAGTGGACTTTGCTGAGTGGTGGTCGTTTTCTCCGTCCTATCTTTCCCAGCATTGGTGCCTTCTCCAGAACTAGGTTTTTGCACAATTTGTCCAAACTAGAATTATTTGATTGTTATCATGCATGCTTCATATAGGATAGGATAGGATAGGATAGGATAGGATAGGATAGGATAGGATAGGATAGGATAGGATAGGATAGAATAGAATAGAATAGAATAGAATAGAATAGAATAGAATAGAATTCTTTATTGGCCAAGTGTGATTGGACACACAAGGAATATGGAATTATATGAGAACTCTCGGTTGATTTATTCGATAATCCATTGGTTTTTGGCTATGATATTCTCAGAAATTATCTCCAATAACCAACCTTCAAAAGTGTCTATGTTCTGCTTTTTTCCTTTTCCCTAAAGTCACAGGGAATAGCATTGCTGCACTATTCTGTAGTATTGACACATCACAGCATCTGAATATCTTTTCCAATATCTTCATGGTTTGCTCTAGTCTACAATCTATTTCTTATTTTTTGTTTATTTTTTTTGGCTGATCCTAAAAGGCAGAAGAAGATACCTTCTGTATCAGTCAATTCTAAGGTTGATTGTCCTACCTATTGTCATTAGCTTGGTATTCTTTATATTTTAGTTCCAGATTCCTACTGTGCTCCTTGACCCTTATTGCTAGAGCTTGTAGATCCTTTGCATTTTTCCTAATCAGAATAGTATTATTAGCATAGTGGAGGTTATTTATGTCTTTCTCGAGTGTTAAAAACATATATAGTATTTTCCAATCTAGCTTCCCTCAATAAATATTCAACATGTAGGTTGAATAAATAAAACAGGAATATGCAGATTTGCCTCGCTCTTTTGCCAGTCTAGAGCATCTGTTTCACCATGTTCAGACCATTTTGTGGCTTATTGATCTGTGAACAGGTTTCTCATGAGGACAGTGAAATGTTTTGGGAGTCCTATTTTTCTAAGCTCATTGCATAGCTTGGCACAATCAGCAGACTCAACGGCCTTTCTTTAATCAGTGGAAATACATACTAATTGCTTTTCAGTGTGCTTTGCCTTTCTCAATTATGCAGAGTACATGAGGAATAATGTCTTGTATTCCTTGGCCTTTTCTAAAGCCAGCTTGAATATCTGGCATCTATTTTTCATGTAGAACTCTATATTGGATGTTTTTAAGTGTTATTTCTGTAGCATATCAAATTAGGGATAGTGTATAATAATTGCACGCTGTTAAATCCCCTTTGCTATTGGAATGTAAACTGACCACTTCCAGTCTCCTAGGCATTATGTCAGTTTTCAGATCTGCTGGCATAGCTTTATTTTCTGATTACTTCCCATATTTCTGTCACAATTTCATATGTACACAACCCTATTCTCCCTTTGAAGAGTAAATATCGTCACAATTTTAGTCAGCCTTTGTTCTTTTCTTGATAGTGATAGAGACATAAATGTGTGAAGTGACTATGCTGAAACCCTATTAATGTGATTTGCAAAAATACAGATGTGTCTTACTTAGGAATGGATATCCATTTATCTTTGGAATACAGTCTGATTGTCCTGACATGATTGAACTAGCCCATAATCCAGTTGTATCTATTCAGCAACATACCATGTATTAATTGGATACTTTCTGATCCTTTAATTTTTCCACATATAGAACAGAGCGAGGATGAGTTGTATGATGTTTTGAGAATGATAAAGATTATAAAACTAGTGAATTGATAAATGTTGCTCTACATACCGATACCCTTATATCAAGTATTTCCATGGCAAAACTGACTACTTTCCAAAGATTGACATACCACTAACGTAAGGTTGACATACCACTATATATGAGTTGTCAGTTCAACTCTTTGTAAGTACAGTATTCTTGGAGAAACCTTCATGATGATGTAGAAAGACAAAATGAATAAACTGAAAGGCTAGAATCTTGAATAATAAGCACTTCAGGTAGCAACATGTTTTGCTGATTCCATATAGGATATTAATTATGGTTTCTGTCTGATGAAAGGTCATCTCATGCCTCTAGCTTAATGATTATTCCCTGATTTAATTTGGTCTAGAATAAAAAAAAGAATGGAGGCAGAAGTGTAAAATATTTTATAAAAGTTCCAAACAGAACCAATTCTCTTAAGATAAATTTACAGTACATTGGTTTAAAGTATTGTTGGAGAGAAATGTTATGAAATAAATTGTTACCTATTCCCCAAAAGAGCTAATTCTGCTGTGGCATCTTCTGGAGGCAGAAGATGCCACCTTAGCTAAAATCTGACCTAGCTTGGAAGGAAGCTGAAGGCTGCAAGCGGAAAATATTTGCATAGTATTTTCCTATACTTGGAGAAAGATTAAAGTACCCAATGATAGCCTCTTTTTTTAAAAAAAAGTGCTGTTGCAGTGTCAGATAGAAACCAGAGCTATCCTTCTGAAGCCTCAAGGATTCATGGGCAGTAGCTTCTTAGCGCATACTCTGATGGACTTCCACAATCTGGTGCCCATCAGATGCTTTGGATTTGAACTTCCATAGGGTTAAAATTCACACCTGGAAGGTATTGTGTTGAAGAAACCCACATTAATAAAAATATTTGCCCCTTTATTCAAGGAGAGAACTCTGTAGCCTTTAAGGAATCTAAATTGCATGTTTAATTACCATGTTTAATTAAGTTTTGCTTAAGGGGGAGGTGGAAAAGGGAGAGAGAAACTCTCCTTTCTCATCCTATTTTTTCCCCATAAAATAATCCTTTTTATTGTGATAGATTTTGCATTTAGCTGGGAAAGGATTACCGTAACTATCAAAGTAGCCCTTCTTGGATTATGCCATTTTATATGCTGGTTGGAAGTGATAAGGTTGTCCATCAAAATCTCCCTTATTATGCAATATTAACCACTCCTTGTCAGACTAGTTTCCTATAGTTGAGGAGAAAAGAAACATTTTGATTTCAGACTAGTCTTGTCTGGGCACTGCTTGGATTTCAGAGTGATTAATAGTTCCATTGGAGAAAGCTTGGTTACAAAGAAGCAAATAACACTTGAGCTTTGATCACAGAATTATTTTCCTTTTTCAAAAAAGGATAAACAGGCCAGTTACCAAATATTAAGCGAAACAAGCTTTGCCAATACAGAACAGAAAGAGTTGGCATTTCTTTGAAGTTTATGTGAAATTATTCCTAGGCTAGTTTTTAAAACCTGCCATTTATGTTGCTAAATGGAAAATAAGGGAGAGAAAACCTCCCTTTGTAAAATACTAGCCTAGCCTGCAAAAGGACATAATACAAGCCAGTATTTAGTGCAATACAACAGGAGCAGCAGTGGCCAAGTATCTGCTACTTTCTTTTTTTTAAGTGTTCTCTCAGCTCCTCAGTTTTAGGCAGCAGTTCCTTGGCACAAAGGAGCAGGGCACATGTTCTATAACAAAAGGGCTAGGAATTTAAAAAAAAAAAACCATGTAAGTTGCAGCTTTGGTGTAAAGTTTGCTGGTGAAAATGGTGCGAATGCAGGCTTCGCTGGTGCTTCAAGTGTTCAGTCGGTGACCTCACTGTAATAATATTTCTGGGCTGCTGCTGTCATTTTCCAATCAGTGGCCCGGAACTCAATGATCTCCAGGAGTAGCAATTGGGACAGAGAGCTGAGACCCTCTTGCAGAAGGAATCCATCACGCAGAAGGGAAAAGAGCTCATCCATCCTCTGACTGTTCATCTTTTCGAGTTGCTCACCAATGCGGTGCAGCTGCAGCACCAGGCAGTCCACCTTAAGGCAAGAAAGCAATGAACATCTTGAAGAATTGAGAGCATTACCGGACATGTCCTTGAGGCGGCTCTTCCAGCCCATTACCCACCCACAAAAATAAATGCAGTTCAAGGCGTACCTCACCTGTCCTCCAGCTAGTGCCATCCAGATGTAGCCATTCCAGCCAAGGATTATGGCAATTATTTCTTTTCCAGGTGCATATAGGAATTGTTTTATATTTAAAGTATGTACTTTTAAACATATTCTCATATTAAACAATACCCATTCTCATTCCTTCTTGGGACTCTGAATGGTTCAATAACTTTTTCAGTACTCTTGCTATAGTATATATTCAAAATATTTTGCAATTGCATGCAAAAGTTCTGATTCTTTCATTGGAATTCCATGTGGAATTGGAATGTAACATGCATCTGACACTAACCAATTGATCCCTACTTTCATATGCATCCACAACAACCTAATTGACACCAATTCATACTTTCTAACATACACTGTAACCCCTTGATTCATAACTACTTTACATGTAATCCCCAACTCCACTCCATAAGAAAAGACTTTCTTCAAGTTTATTCCACCTTTCCCTTTTCTTTTAGTTTTAATTATTCACCCGAGCTGTGATTTAACAGAGTCCATGTTATCCACGGTTTGTTCCAAGAAAACTCACCTCTTCCTCTTTCTGCAAACTATCAGGCTGTGCCAATCGGAAGAGGCAGTCATAAACAGGATTCACCAATGCCATCATGGGCATATTGTTGACCTGTTAACAGATTGTGGACATGTCATATTCATAAACATTTTGGAATGTTTAACCCCCGCCCCCAATCTTCAACTTCTTATCACCACTTGGATATTTTAAAAAAAACTAAGCAAGTATATGTATTGTTAATTAATTAAAAGCAGTGCAGAAGAAAAGCTCATGGTATTTTTCACTGATTTAGATGTTTGCTTAATGATCACAACAAAAAGTGTAACCTCCCCTCCCCCCCCGGCTCTGGTCACATGATGCCTTGATTTATGGTTGCAACAATTTATGACTGAAATTCTGAACTCAGTTATGGTCATAGGTTGTGGACTACTGTATACTGAAGTTACTTAAAGTAAGTTTTGGGGGAAAAGAGACATGAACCAAAACCAGGCCACTCTGAATGTTGATCTGAGGCATTTGGGTATTCTCAATAGGATCCCCTTACCCTCAGGTAGTCAAAGATGTTACAGATAAAAGTGACATAGCAGATCCAGGCTTGGAGGGAATGGGCTCGCAACTCATCACGGTCCTTATACTCTTGCTGCAGTCGGTTGAGAAGGCACCGCCGGAAGATACTTTGGCTTGTTTGTTTGCTTTCCACCTATGATAAACATCAAGCTGTTAAGCCCAAGGGAAAGCTATATAAGCTATATGCAGTCAAAAGAAATAGCTGTCCGTGTTCCTTTTACATTGCTCACATGTACAGCATCGCAGTTGCACAACTCTGACCCAGACAGTCCGTGAACACAAACAAGAGACCAAGAAAGGGTTCAGTGAGGAAAGGGATGGTGAAGGGAACTAGTGATCCCCAGCTGTCAAAAGAGAGTGACATGCACCAGATGTATCTCCATTCCTATTGGAATTGAAATTTGAAAGCACCCTGAACATGTACAATTGGGGCCTCTGAAGTTTTTCTCCTTGATTTGCTTGGACTACCTCCCAGCTCAAGAAGCCCAGGCGTAGAGGAAGAATCCAGTATTTTTCCCATGCCTCTAAATCGTGAAATTAGGAGACTGGAAAGGAAGAATTAGGTTAAAGTTACTCCAACAAAATTTCCTATAAACTGCCTCCCAACTAGTAGATATCATGCCTTGCACATCTGCTTCCAGGTCTTGAGGAAACATTGGTGGATTTTTATCTCGTAGGCATTTGTACAGTGGTGAGAAGTGACAAAACACATGTGATATTGTAATACAGTCCTGTCCCATGTACTTGAATACAGTACAAAATTTCCCGCCTTTTGCTATTTCGGTGCAACTGGGCTTGGAAAGGAGATCCGTGCCCTATCTCCGTTTCTCTCTCTCACCCACACAGTTCAAACCTCAACCATAGGAAGACAAAACATGCCTAAAGAAGCAGGAGCCTCTAGGGGCACAAAATGTGGAGGGAGGCAAAACTTAAATGGGTTATTTAATGAGTTTTGCTCACCAAGTCAGGGGCTGTAGTTGAAGGGATAGATTCAGCTTCTATCCTCTCCTCTGGGCTGGTTGCCAAACATGTTCTGCGGGTCAGGCCAAGCCAAGCTCCATCTGTGGAAAGGAAGCATGGCTGCTGAATGACAGGCATGCCCAGAACCCTGCTTTAATGCAACCTACAGGCTCCTTTATATGGAATTAATTAATTACACTGTGTTGTGTTATATTATTATAGTATATTATGTGTATGTGTGTGTGTGTGTGTGTGTGTGTGTGTGTGTGTGTGTGTTTATATATATATATATATATATATATATATATATATATATATATATCCCAAATATATTTTACTGATAAAGAAATAAAGGTAAATATATTTTACTGATAAAGAAATATATCAGTAAAATATATTTGGTATAAAAATGGTTTGTTGTGGATGCAACTGTTTGAGGGCTCCTGGGTTGGAGCTGAAAGGCAAGAGAGCAGAATGCTCTCTCCCACATGTTGGAGTAGACCAGGTGCCTCGGTAAAACACACACACACACACACACATATATATATATCATATTATGAGGGGAGGATAGCATTATTGTATTGTTATTACTATCTTATATTATATTACATTATACAAATCTATCTCAAACTAGAAATGGGAATATCATCCCACCCCATTCACAGGCATGAAAACAACGCCGCATATCGACAAACAGAATCCAAAGTATACGGTAGTTGAATGTGGAAAATGGCATTAAACTTCTTACTAATTCTCAGAAGAAGGACTATTCAGTCTCTCACCTGAGTGATGGCATAACAGATGCGCCCTGCCTCTTTACTGAATACACAATCTTTTAAGGACTGGTCCACAATTATATTGGCCACTTTCTCCAGATCCACGCTGCTGGGATCTACAGAAGAAGAAGCAACACTCAATTTTAGATCGAAAGGAATGTAAATCTATTTGACAGAAATTACAGCAGTGCCACATCAAACACCATTCCAAGTGAACTTGGAGACACGTACCAAAAAGTTCAGTGGGCAAAAATAGGAACTGGGATATGCCAGTTTTTCCTACTTGCATGCCTTACAAGTGTGCTGAAGTACACAGTGGCCAATAGTTCAATAAAATAAATGCCAAGTGTGTATTTTGGATTAGATTAGTCAACAACTGAGTGCAACTGCAGAAAAGGTCTTACCTATGCGTGTGCCCTCTTTAGCTTCTGAAGAAAAAGTCTCTGGGGCAGAGTTTAAGGAATCAGAAGATTTTCATGGCAGCAGACAATCTTCTTCATTTGCTTATAAACTCTATAAAGATTGTGTGTTTGGGGGCCAAGGAAGGAATGGAAAGGCAAAGTGGGGGGACAGAGAAAGAGCTACTAACCTTTGAGTGCTGTTTTCAGTAACTGCTGAACTTCTGAATCAAATGAATATATTTTATAGTCCTCTTTGCTTGTTTCCTCCATCCCTTTCCCTCTTTCAAGTGCTATTAGGTCAGGGAAGCTGCTGAGTTAGCAGGACCTGTGGAGAAAGGAGAGATCATAAACAGTTTCTTTGGACCAGAGATAGATATGTATTGGTTCTTCCCTAGAGGAGGCTCTATAACCCATGCAAAGAAGAAAAACAGTACTACTGGAGTTAATAAAAGGAAATAAAACCCTTGGATAACAAATGAAGAAAAAACAAACCTGGGGAAGATTCTCTTCCAACACAAACAGCTAGTACTCCAATTGAATAATTGCTGTTCCTGTTCCTTCCTCTATTATTTGAAAATAAGGTGCTTCAGTGTGCAAAACAATCTAACATCATTGGCTCCCCTACTCCAGTAAGCCAAATGCACAGTTTCTGAATCCAGGGCCAAGCAGACTGCTCGGTCATCAAAATTCCTCTGTTTTTGCTCAGTCAGGCAAAAGTGAGTTGACAAGACATGACAGGAATCCATGGAAAACATTTTGGAGATCTGGAATCTATTCAAGGAATAGAGGTTGGAAGGTATGTTCAAAGAAGAAGAGCAATTGTATTAATATTCTATTAACTTCCCAGTTAACATCTGGTATTGGGGATCCTGAGCAGTCTACTTCTTGGTCCCTATATCCCTACATCAGTATCTCTGTTTCACTTTCCTTGTTCAATTTCATCTGTTCACCTTTCCACCCCAAATGTTAACAATTCTTTGTAAAGTACCATTCCTGAAATCCATCCATCAATATGTTCCCTTGTCTTGAATTCTTCTCCTTTAACTTAATGAAACCCTTGCTTGTATCTCTTCTGCTACCTAACCACTGCCTTTCCCATTTAACTTTTTTGAGTTAGGGGATATCAGGAATTCCTGATCATTCTGGTATCACGACTCCCTAAAACAAATGAATCTGTATAATCCTTCAGAAGCTGCAAAACTACAACTATCAGCAGCTCCAGCCTGTCTGGCTAAGAGGGAGGAACGCCGGGGTCAGCACCCTCAAAAGGCTGACAGGCAATCTATATATGTACTTATTTCCGCTACTATCATACTAATTGAATATGTACATCTCTTTCTACTAAAGACAAATGTGGAACAACTGGAGTATTCCTTGCCCTGCCTTGCTCCCTGACTTTTTCCAGTTGGGCCAAGGGAAGACAGAAAATGAGAGAAGAAAGGTGAGCCAGTATTTCCTCTTTTTCATACTTATAACTCTGATCACCCCTTGCCCACCAAGCCCCACTTCAAGGCAAAGCACTGGGAAAAAGTAAACCCCGCCATCTGCTGGAGATAGAGTGAAATGTGCAAAGCTGGAAGTCTTTCAGTGTTCTGTCTGGAAAAGCATTTTCTTGTGCAAGCCTAAAAAAGACAAAGCAATCTCCCCCCAGATTCGCCCAGGAATTCACAGCTTCATAGTATGAGATGCTCTTCTTGATCCCTCTTGATTTGCAGTAATGCGATAAGAAAATCCTGCAAGGTTTGCTACCCGTGAACTGAGAAAAATAGGGAGATACTATAGCACAGGAAGACACACAACACACTAAGCCATAATATGGGTGTTCTGGCTTAGTATGTTGCATGAACCCAGATAAATGGAACATATTCAAAGTATGAATTAAACAAATTACACTCTAATTCAGTGAACTCAATTCCAAAAAGGAATAGTTGGAGGCAGCATTCAAAGGCCTGCGTTTGGATAGCTTTATGGTATCATCAAAACACAGCAATTATTTTAAAAAGCACTGTTGTTAATATTCTCTAGTTTTTATGCTTCATAGCAGCTATTATTAATCATAAATAATTATACTGAATTACTGATAAACAAACCATTTTTCAAATGGCTTCCAAAAAAATAAAAAAGTCCACAATTTTAAAAAAGTCATCATTTGAAACAGGAGATGAAAAGCAGAGTATGAATTCCTTAGCAAAGATAAAACAGATAAGAGTTTTTAAAAAACCCAAAAGTTTGAGAAAATAAAATCTTCCTTAAGCAACAAGATATAATCAAAGAGATACCAAGCCTTTCTGTCTCAGAAAGCTGTCTGTAACTGAGGCATTCTTATGGAGATCTCTGTTTTTGAGAATCCACGAGGGGTCACTTGTCAATATATAAAGAAATGCATAAGGAGACAGGCAGACCTTCAAACCATGGAGATCTTCAACTAGTGCCCTGAATTGAGCTTCTGAGTGGATTGGGGGCTTGCCTCAATTTTTTATTTTATGGAAGGCAGTCTCTCTCTCTATTGCTTTACTGTTGTCTCTGTATGGAAAAACAGAGTTTAGGTGTGTTGAATCTAGTGTGACACCTAGCTGTTGGTGTGTTGCTTGAATAAAAAGGCAGGCAATCAAACAAACAAAAGATAAAATAAAAAAACTTACCTGTGTAAAATGAGGGAACTAGCCAGAGTTACAGCAGCCTCCATGTACAGCAGGGGTGTCAAACTTGCATCGTCACGGTGGTGTCTCGTGACGCATTGGGACTTTTTTCCCCTCCTTCCCTAAACCGGGCATGGGCGTGGCCAGCGCGTGACACATCTGGCCCGCGGGCCGTAAGTTTGACAGTCCTGATGTAAAGTCAATCAATATGCACCGCCATGAACTTACTAAGGGTATGACAATTCCCTTTTTACGACAACTGCTGTCATTACACAGCAATGCTATTAATGGGAGAGCACAGCCAGCTTTGTTACTGCATGGAGAATTCCCAACTGATAAGTCAGTTTCAACACATACCAGAGCAGTCACACCAACCTTTCTCCTATTCAGAGCATGTGACCTCTAGTTAGGTTTCAAGATCAATTACTTCTCTGCATAGCAGTCAGTATAGTATGGCTGCTGATTGTTCCGTGATTGTTCTGACATGTATAGAAACCAGAGCTACTGTTACCTGATGCCCGACCTCTGGAACATCATCCCTCCAGAGATTAGACTGGCCCCAACTCTGTTGGCCACAAAGCCTTGAAGACCTGATTCTGTGCCTGCCTCCTGATCGTGTTAATGTCTTTTCATTATTTTCCCAGCTGTGTTATGTATATATTTTTATTCATTTTAACATTGTAAATGACTCTTAGAGTCATGTATTTGAAATTGGTGCCTACCCAGATTAAATAAATGATAAACGTGGTTCTATTCCAACCCTAACCCTAAAAGTAACTTTTGGAGTAAAGGAAAAAACTAACGGCAAACCACTTCAATATTGTTGCCCAGGATATGACACAGATAGGTTCACCAAGTCCTTAGAAAAGAGCAAAACCGGAGCTACTCTTCATTTCTTTTTTATACCTACGCATAAAACATTGGTTTTAATCCCGCAAAGCAGCCACAAAGACTTTGTGTGTGGGTGGATGACTCTACAGGTCGTCCTCGACTTACAACAGTTCATCTAGTGACCCTCCAACGTTATAAGGGCACTGAAAAAAGTAACTTAGGAGCATTTTTCACACTTACAAACATTGCAGCATTTCCACTGTCACACGATCAAAATTAAATTGCTTGGCAAGTGATTCATATTTATGATGGTTGCCGCCTTATCCCGGAATCACGTGATCACCTTTTGAGATCTTCTGACAAACAAAGTCACCGGGGAAACCAGATTCACTTCACAACCGTGTTACTAACTTAACTACTGCAGGGGTCATAAAATGAAGCAAAACTCACTTAAGCAATGTCACTTAGCAAACATACATTTTGGACTCAATTGTGGTGGTTTAAATCAAGGATTTACCTGTGCTTTAAAAACCAATTTTTCCAACAGGGAAGCCAATTTATCAAGGGGGGGGAGGGAAGGGGAACGCCCCGCCCCTTCAAAGAGACCCGCACCCCCAGTTTCTCAGGCAGCCCCGAGAAAGCGAGAAGGAGAAGTCGGAAGGACACCCACCTGCTCTCTCGCCTTTCACGCCTCCGATGTCAGCAGGGGCGCGCCGGCATCTTGCCGCGGGAAAACGCCCCCGGGGATCCCTAAACCTTTTTGGGGTCCGGCTCGGGTCGCTGGAGGTATATCAGAAAAAAGCCCACCACCAAAAAGAGCAGCAGCAGCAGCAAGAAAGGCAGCAGCTCAAGCATGGAGTGCAAGTGCAGGATGGGCATCCTTCGGGTATTGGCCCCGACGGCCCCCGACACCGGCAGAAGCGCCCAGCTGACCCGACCCGAGCAGCCGTCGCGCGTCCCTCCGGCTTTTCACTCACTTTGGGGTCCGACGGCAACTCCTAAAACTCAGCTGCTGAGTGGGGTGCGTTTTTCCCCCACCCTTCCCTCCTTGTTTGCACAGCCGGAGGCTTCCTCTTAGGTCATTTCCTCGCCAGGGTAAGTGGAAGGAGGGAGAAAGACGGTGACAGTATACCGGCAAGCAGCGCCTACTGCTGGCAAATGGAGGTACCCTCCTTTAAACCAAGGGTCTGAAGGTTGCTTGCAAGAATTAACCTCACGAACGAAGGCAAAATATTACGTGCCTCAGGATCCAATCTGGGTCGGTCACCGGGACCAGACCAGAGGGCTCCAGGATGAGCTTCAACATGAATCCGAAGGCTCGGAAGAACTAACTATCTGGTCCCGGTGACCGATCCAGATTGGATCCTGCAAGAGTTAACCTGTTTGGTTGCCTTTCCGTACTAGAATCTGCGATCCAGCAGCTAAAGCCTGAACCAGAAATAAGGAATACCAGTTAAACACACAAAGTCAGAAACAAAGTAAGGGATTTGGAATTTGGAATTTTGGACTGCTGGTCCTCAGCACTCCAACTTACTATTGTGTCATGAGTGATATACACTAACTGAAATAATTACTGGCACAGATTGGCAATATGTAGACTTTATTCAACTTTCATAAATTCAAACCAATAGATAGTTCTGAGGATTAATGAGAGTTGTAATATAACATGGAGAAATTCTGACAGAAATTCAGGAACTAGAGACCACCATAATTAAAACTAAGTATAAATTGGCAGATTACACACACATACACACACACATATATACACACACATACATACACATATATGCTTGAGATTATATATATTTATATGTGTGTGTGTGTGTGTGTGTGTGTGTGTGTGTGTGTGTGTCTTTGGTTATTCGGGTCTTCTCCCACGTAAAATTGGATGTGTCTTGGCGACGTTTCGACGAAGTCTCATTCGTCATCTTCAGGCTGGTGTTCTCGGCTTCGTGCTTCCAGGAGCAAGGAGCTTTGCTCCTGGAAGCACGAAGCCGAGAACACCAGCCTGAAGATGATTATGGTTTGTTTCCCCCCCCCCCCCACACACACACACAATGTGTGCAGAAATATTATCCTGGGCGTATTCATTATATGCACCATACTTTCAAAGTCCTTTTTAAAGTCTTCTCACGTGTCACATCTCCACTAATGCTACTGCTGCATATTCTCAAATGATTTTCTTGAATCACCACAAAGGCCAGGGACTGCATCCTCTACTATAATGTGTTACATTACAGTACCTGAATTTAGAAGGAACATTATACCAGTCATTGGACATCAGAATTCCCTTTCTATGAAGATGATATCCCAATTAAAAAAAAAATCTGCAAAGGGATAAATCAGAAATGGAACAGAGGCTTTCCACAAGCAGGTAGAATATGCCTGCCTGCTCTGTCCACTTGTACTGGTTGAGCTGAATGTGGAAGAGAGATAATCTTTTAGATAACCAGGTCACCAAAGTTTTATAAGTCATAACCAACACCTTGAATTATCTTTGGAAACCTGCCAATATTCAGTGCCGCTCATAGAGCAAGGGTGCTACATGAGCAACGTGTGACATGCTCATAATTGCCTGTGTCACTGCATTCATATAGTAGTTGAATGGCAACTCCATGTATATCACATTGGAGTAGCCTAGGCGTAAGGTGACTAAAGCATAAGTGGCTTCTAAAAGGGAGGGGTACATTGAGAAATAGATTGGATTTGTGTGAAAATTTTTCAGCCACGAGCAGAAGTTGTGCACTCATAAACCTATGCACAAGCCCTGAATAAGCAAATGCAACCTAGTTCAGGACTAAAGATAAGATCCCTATTTCTGGAGGAGGGCCACAAAACCACACAGCCACCCAATCTTATCAATGTTGAACTTGGCCTCTTCCTCCCCTCCAGGTTTCCAACACCTGCAGTCTCAAATGATACCTTTTTGTTTGTAACAGACTCCCAAATACAATAACATTAAGAGCACTGTTTATAAAAAACATTAATAGTCTTTCCTTGCAAACAACAGCTGCCTTTCCCAAGTCCTTCTTAGGTACTGTTTAGGTGCAGTAATATGAAAAGGGATGTTTACATGCTGTTCCTCCATTGGATTCTCAGAAGAGTGGCAATTGCAAAAGAAAAAATAATCCAGAAATTTATGATAAATATATTTATATGTTTATTTTTCTTTCAAGATAGACACATGTTCTATGGATTAGAAAACTGGATGGTCCAAACTGTCTCAGCCACAAAAAATAACTCTTTATATGAAAAATACAGATACAGTGTTATAGATTAAGCATTCATGTTAAACACGGGGTGAAAAAAAATCTCAGTAATGGAATCTGAAACCTTGCACAACCCTAGATGTCAACAAAGATCATTTAGATTACAGTACTAGGAGTACAAATCTGTCTGGGTTCTCATTGGCATAGGTGCCCAGATAATAACCATCAACGATTTTGGAGGTATTGGGAGAGACTGCTGAACTATCCATGTTATGCTGCCTTGTAAACACTGAATTATTAAAGTATACACTGATTTTGGCACTGTCATAAGGCACAATATCTTAAAATTAACATATTTGAGGAAGCCGATTGAAGGACGCACTAAAGGATAGAGGAGAACTGAAAGATAAGTGACCTAGCTTATATTTGGAGACTACAAATGTGAAGTGTTCCTTCTTTCTTTGGATTGCTGTGACTTCATGCTTGCCTCTTAAGCTTGCTAGTTTGTGTGCTTAAAAAGAGGGTAATTCTGACAGAAAGGCAGGTTTCATGAGGTAATGCCTCTATTGTATAGGTGGGGAAAGACACAGGAGCCCTTGAGGGCAAGGTGATTGTGGAGCCCCTTTTAGTTATAGTTGGTTCATAACCAGTGTTCTGTTCTTCTAGTCCAGTGATTCTCAACCTTGACAATTTTAAGATGGGTGGACTTCAACTCCCATAATTCCTCAACCAGCATGCTGGGGCAGGGGTGAAATTCTGGGAGTATGCTGGCTGGGGGATTATGGGAGTTGAAACACTGGACTAGAAGAACAGAACACCAGTTATGAACCAACCATAACACTGGTCTAGTCAGTAGTGTTCTTATTCATATTTATTGTTTTTTGTCTGTAATCTATCCAGATTCATTAAGGAGTCAATGGCCTCAAAATTTGATAAATAAAATAATAAAAAACATGTCAAGGACAGTTGTTGCTGCATTTCTGGTGAATCTGTTGTTTGCCTTTTGACAAAGGAGCCTACCCTAGGTGCATTTTAGAAAGTATCTGAATCAGCAATTCCAATCTTAGACAACAAAAGAAGGAAAGGCCTATGAACACTTTGGGAAGAGAACCCACCTGTCCAAAACAAATATTTCAGAGAAATGGAAGCAACCTTTGTTCTTAGGATACATAAGGCAAAGTTTGCATAAATCAGGGCCCTTCCAATGGTATGCAATGTAGCTGGAATGTGACTTTCACAGCTCTTATGAAAATAAATACAGATAAAGAGTACAAGGAACAACCTGACCCAGTAGGTAAGCAAAAGAAAGTAACTTTAAACTTTCCTGTTTGCAGTCTCTGTGCTTCCAAACACCAACGGCTCTGATTCTACTGATTTCAGCATGAATTAAAATCCATCCTGCCAGTACTGGAAGTTTTATAAAAAGAATTTGCAGATACTGCTGGAAACAAATCTATTTTTTAAAACCTCTCTTTTCAGAAGCTTTGCTTATATCTATCAGGTATATAGCAAACTGGAGTGTTCTTGTGTATTACTACGGTACCTTCAACTTAGCAATATATCTGAACGTGGATTGTCCTATGCTGAAAGGAGGTCATGGAGTAGAAATCAACTTGGTGATTTCCCAACTGTACTCATCCTGTCAGATTGCTTTTTCCCGATACCATGCAAAGATTATAGAGTATAAAAAATATCTAAATAAATAAATATACATTATTTTTATGCTTTTACATTTACATTTTACAGATAAGTGCATAGAAAATAGGCAGGGAATAGAGAATCAGCTTCTTCCTGTGTGTGAAACTGGGACCATGACAATTCATATATTTTATATCAGGCAAAACTGAATTAGTCCAAGAATATTCAGCTTGTGAGGACAAAGCCTTAAAGCAAACTTACTTACCCAATTGCTGTGAACGTTTTAATGTAAATACAGAGTATGTACCAGGAAGTTGAGAAATCTACCAATGACTTGGAAAGTAAAGGCTGCAATTCTAAATGTACATAGTGAGATTTATTTCTGAGTAAACTTTGACAAGATTGCACCAATCGTTTAATTTTCTTTATAGCTTTCATCATATATAAAATTGGCCAAATTCAGCCAGGCAAATGGTCCTCTTCAACTGTTTTTTCACTAAATGTTAAGAGTTTGCTGAAAAAAAGTATCCATTGTTATTCCAGAGCTTTTTCTTGGGGAAAAAGAAGCTATCAGAGGATAATATTGTTTAAGAAAAATCATTACGATATTTTAAAAGATGCGTCCTATCGCAAAATGAAACGGAATAATTGTATAGTCAACAATATTTTTTCCTCACTTTGATTCAAAATGAAAAAGTTTAAAATGAAAACTTCTTAAGAATTTAGATCCAGCATGTTTGTTTTAGTAAGAAAGAAGTTGATAGTGCAAAAATATAAGTGTCTAGTTTACAGGCCGCTTGTATGCTTGCCCTCTATTTTTAATTTGGAGTAGTGGCAAAATATATTTATGTATGCGCAGGGCAAGAGGAACCACGAACACTAATGGCCCTGCTAACACAGAAGGGAAAGATATGCATGCAGCGCTTCCTCTACTTTGTTTAGGATTTTGGCAACAGACAATTTCCACAGACTCACTAATGGAACACTGCAAAATCACAAGGCCTGCAAGAACCTCAGCCAAGAGGCAAGGGAATGGCTGACAAAACAGCTATTGCATTTTTACTGCCGGAGCTGAATGGCCAAGGCAGGTAGTTGTCTATTAAGCAATTGTCCCATCGGCACTACTGAATGCCAGGATCTCCAGCTTATCACAGGCATTGCAAAATGGCCATGCTGAAGGAGTCTGGCCATCCACTAGTCAATATATAGTTCTGTTTAAGGGTACCAAGTTTCCAGGGTCACAAAAGGGGATTTTGATATGTGAACTGGGGTCTGATTCAAACCCTCTGTTATGAAACAATAGAAAAAGCAGACACACCTTTACAACAAAGATCTTCAGAGGCCTTGATGATGAACCTCATCAAGACTCACAAATGCTGCAGCTGCAGACTAAAGAGACAACCTGAGCAGGTGTTGAGGTGAGCCACCGTTTCTGTTTTGAGCCAAACCAACGAGCAATGTGCATCCTGGGTTTGTGCAAAGAGTCACTTGTCTCGATTCTCCAATCCCATATGCCCTGCCTCACCCCTCAGTCCCCAACGATGACGACTGCAGCTGCAATTACACTCCAAGAACATCCACTGGAGGCAGGCGGCAACTCTTGCTTATAATTAGCCTTCTTGCTTCTTAGGACCACCGGAGACTTGCATTGTTAGCAGAAAATTGCAAAAGAGCTCATACCAGAAAAAGGTGAAGCCGGTGGAGAAAGCAGCCTTCAACAAGCTTGGGGAGAGGCCCTTGAAGAATCCTCTGGGTCCCTCATCCAAGATTATCTGTCGGGCACAGTCCATGATGCTAGTGTATGTTCGAACCTGCAGACACAAGAAATGAGTGAGCCAGAGCAGAGATTCAGGCTGGGTACAAAGTCTTTTCTCTTAGACATAACAGGACGTTGGATTCAGTCTCATGTAATTGCGGGGAAAAGTCGTGGCAAGAAGTATTTATGTTCGTGCTCTCTCATGGAAACTGACCCTGAAGCACCGCATAGCCAGATTATGCATATTGGTCTCCAGACAGAAAATGAGAAAAAAGAATCCGTATACTTAAAAGCTATGGATTGAGATTTAGAAAAACAAAGCCACCAAAAACTGGCTAGTTGAACAAAAAAGAAACTCGGCACAAACGTTTATAACACAGTTTTATTGTGAAACGGTATATGTTCAATACTTTGAAAGAAGGTTGAATAAGGGGGCACCAACTAGAGGCAAATCTAAGTTGTGCCTTATTATTACATGAACAAGATGTGAGAAGCCTTGAGTTCAGGTCCTCCCACTTCCTCTTCCTCTCTTCTTCACACACAATTTAAAACTACTAGGCTCTGTGTATAACAAAGCCATCTCTGTCAAAATATGGGCAACTGTGGTTTGCACAAACTGTAGTTCATCCAACTGCAAGCTGAGCAAAAACACAATGTGATAAATTGCTATCCTTCTGCATGAAACAGGAAAAAAGGGGAGGAGGGAAAGCATTGGTTCCAGGTTCTCATCTAGAAATAGCCAGGGGAGGGGGCCAGCAATGGCTCCATTACAAGCAATGCATCCAGCATACACTTAGAGGCTACAAGCATCAAAGCTACAAGTTCTCAGTGATGGGCAGAACGTACTTCTAGTAATGTCTTCATCAAAGGCAGTGTTTCCCAACCAAAGCAACTTCCAGGTGGGTGGACTTCAACTCCCAGAATCCCACAGCCCACAAGGCCATTGAGGAGAATTATGTGAGTTGAAGTCCACACACCTGGAAATTGCCATGGTTGAGAAACACTAAAATAAGAGTAGGAGAGTAGGTGAGGCAGAACTCCTCATTTAGATATTGCATAAAAGGGGAAAGTCTGGTTGTTTCAGCAGATACACCCTATTGCCTGATATATTTGGCATAGAAAAAAGAGAAAGAGAGGAAAGGGGAACAAGACAGATTTCCACAAGCCAAATCCCCTCTCACCTGCCCAAAGGCCGCCCTGGCTTGTTCAAAGCCACCCACTTGCAGTCGCTTCTTGAACAGGTCAAAGGGATAGGTCAGAGTTTTGCTGAGGACACCAGCACAGCTGCCGCACACTAGGTTTCTAATATTACCTGAAAAACCAAGAGGTTAGAAGTGGAGGGAAGCACTCCAAAGCTAAATCTAATCCTGCCCTTCAAAGCCCTGGACTGGTCAACATAGGAGAGTCACGAGTCACTGGGGTAGGATTATCTTTATGAAAGGCTCTCAATGGATTCCTATTTACTTACTGATTTCACACTTACAATTTTGCCGCTAACTGATTTCCAACCTTGAGGCAGCAGACTTTCTAAGCTCAGCTTAGACCTGCCCCTTTTTCCCTGCCCAGCCGCACCATTGGCACCAACCTTTCTTCATGTCTTCGCTTGGAACAATCCAGTTGTACACCCTCTTCAGGAGACTGTAGAAGGAAAACTGGAAGCCGGCATAAGGAACAATGGCAATTATGGTTGGGCTCAGCCCCCTATAGAAAGTCAGCAGTCCTTCCTTCTGGTACATGCTGACCACAGCGTGGCGGAGGTTCCTGTAAATCTAAAACAATTTAAGGAGGAGCATTTTAGAACAATTAATAAGTGGAACAACTTGCCTGCAGAAGTTGTGAATGCTCCAACACTGGAAATTTTTAAGAAGATGTTGGATAACCATTTGTCTGAAGTGGTGTAGGGTTTCCTGCCTGGGCAGGGGGTTGGACTAGAAGACCTCCAAGATCCCTTCCAACTCTGTTATTCTATTCTATCTTTCCTTGGCCATGATGCAAATTTTGCTCTCGGTATAGAAGCGAGATTTCAGCTATGCTGTCAAAAAGCTCCAACTATTAAGAGGTGCAGCTCCTGCTAGTTACCCGAACTGGCTATCTATCTGTCCCTTAACATTTCTGGTCATCATTGTATGTTTAGACTGGATTTGGCATTTTTCTCCACCTACTGAATCCTTCCCAAGGACCCGAGATAGGCAGATGTTGTTGTTTGATGTTCTTAAAGGTGTTATTATCATAGGCACAACATGTGAAATCACAGTTCATTAGCTGCTGTTGGCCTTCATACTCATTGAGTTCTTCCCAAGAACATAGGATGTTTTAATATATTGGAAGAGCCTAGCAGTGTGGCTATTATTATTCACTTTTCTGCTCTGAAGAGCACTCAAGTTGGTAAAGAATTTTTTTTATGAATATAAAACTTCAAAAACACATCACAATAAAATCATTACTAAAAGCAATTAACCAGTTAAAAGCTTGAAGAGAGAGAGAGAGAGAGAGAGAGACTTTTTGTCATGACCAGACAATCCCCATGCTACCCTTTGCTCCTCCCACACAGCTGCCTTCTCAACGGGGTACTGAAAAGCAAAATGATCTATTATGCAAAGTACAGTTTCTATGATGCCTATCTGCACAATAATATATAGACTTGCATAGCTTATTCTGCATGCATAATAATAATGTGCAAAAGAAAGCAGTTCTGACACAGAATTTCAAATTTGTGTAAGAGAAGCAAAGACTGTTCCCACAAGAAACATAACATCTGAGGGGAAATTTAACATGTATTAGAATAAGTAGCTTAAATTAAAACACATATTTTCCTGGGTGAACAGTGACAGACCAGGAAAAGCAGCAACTTTTTTTACAGAGCTGCTGACAGGTAAAGAGGCCGTGACCATCCTGGCTTTGAAGCACCTCTTTCACTTTGCACACTGAATACTGCACACTAAAATGGCTGGATTCAAACATATTAAGCCAAAATAACTCTGCTTTGGTAAACAAGTCATATTGATCTAATTCCCACATACTGTAAACCTTGATGGATGGTGGTTGCCTATTTGTCAGATTGCTTCCCTATCAGATTTATAGATTTTCTCAAGATGCAGCTGTTTGTTTATTTATTTTATTTTTATTTTATTAGTCATATTTCTATGCCGCCCACTTTCCGAGGACTCTGGGTGGCTTACACCAAAGACAGTATACTAAATAGTATATTACCCCCAACAATCTGGGTCCTCATTTTACCCACCTTGGAAGGATGGAAGGCTGAGTCAACCTTGAGCCGGTGAGATTTGATCCGCTGATCTGCTGAACTAGCAGTCAGCTGAAGTAGCTGCAGTACTGCACTCTGCGCCACCTCGGCTCTTATCAAAGTCTTCCTTTCACTCGTCTCTATCATGGGACCTTCACCTTTTGGGACTCTTGTTATTTTTTCATCAGCCTCAAGTACTCCTCCTAACCTTGCCTATCAATTCCGACAGATCAACCAACAATAAATAAGACAGTCCCTCCTAAGAAAGCTTATGGCATAATAAATGTTTTAATATCTAAGACACCCTAAGACTGTAAGTAAGTTGGAAACCAGTCAGAATGGTGTCATTTCATTAAATAAATACTGTTGGTGTAAAGTAAAGAACCAGAATATTCTCCAGGTAGCAAGAGCAGAATTAATCTGGAAACATAGAGGGTGGGTGGGGAGTGGAAATTCTTTCATCCATCTCTTACCTTCGGTTCTCCTTGGGCAGCCAAGCGAGTGCGCAATGTGTCAAGAGGCTGAACTGTCACAGTAGCAGCACAAGCAGACAGACCGCCACAGATAAAGTGCACAGTGAAGTCACGAGCATCATAAGTTGTGCCATGGTGCACCAGCTTTGTCAGAAATTCAAAGCTGACAAACTTGTAAAAAGAAAACCAAAACAATCAGAAATGTACATATTTGATTTAGGAGAGCCACCAATCACATAAGGATATTTTTAAAAGAACAATTTCTGTTAATACATATAGTCCAACAATTCTGGTTTTGCATCTCTGAAGTAATTAATTAATTACTAATTATTAAACTGATTCATTTTTTTTTCACTTATTTCATTTATAGGATTTAGGATGGTGGATGTCTCTGGAAGTATGCAAATATCAGGAGAGTTGCATAGTTGGCTAATTTATGGCTTAATGGGTTGCGTAGATCCAGTTAATATAGTTAGTTTATGGTTTAATGTTACAATAGCTGAACCTTAATAATTGCGTAAATCCTGCCTCAATTTATACTGTGTTAGCATTCTATGTGAACATACCCAACATCTGAGAAAACAATTTAGAGTCCTCAGAATTACATCAGTTTACAAACTAGTATCCAAGATAGATTAGCATTAAATAATCAAAACAAGAAGCAGCAGCTGATGTGCTTCTCATCATTTGGCAAAAATTAACAGATTTTATTTTGCATTTCAGGATGTGGGATGAAAAGTTTTGGCAGGAAAGTGAAATCAGAGAAAATACAGTAAAGAATTTTTTGGGCTCTAAGAGAGGGATTGACAAAGACTGGATAAAAGAAAATAGGGTATTACCCTTGTGCAAGCATGGAGATTCTGAATTAATATTTAAAATTACTTAAATTAACTCTTACTTGAACAGAAAGTACATGAAGAAAAGTTAATATGAAATCCTAAATTTTGCTAGGAATAAATCTTTAGTCCCAGAGTCATAACATTTCATGTTAACAACTCAATTGTGTCATATTAATTCTAAAAAAAGTACCATATTTTTTCGGAGTATAAGACACACTTTTTTCTCTCCTAAAAGAGGCTGAAAATCTTATACTCCGAATGTAGCTTTTTCAAAGCTTTTTTTCAGCTCTAACGAGGCACTAGCGAGTGAAACGATCTCCGTGGTTTGTCTGCTTTTCTCATTGCTTCTCTCTCCAAAGATCAGTTGTGCTCTAGAAGCTGTTTTTTTTTATCCCTAAGCAGGGGATAAAAACCAGCAAACTAATGTGCTGAAGCTGACCAGGCTAAGGACACTAGCCAGATGAATACCTGGTAGGCAGATTTTTTTTTGTTATTTTCCTCCCCAAAAACTAAGCTGTGTCTTATACTCTGAAAAATACAGTAGTCAGTTTTTGAAAAGAAACACAAGAAGGCAGCTAAACAGATCACTCTGGAAGTTAAGAAAATTGTCAGTTTTCAGGCTGAATAGATAAAATATTGTTTGGTTCTCACCTGGACAGCCCCATATGTGATGGAAAGAAGTTGAGCGGGGACATGACCTTTCCAAAATGCAGTGACCCCTTCCTCCTGAAAAATCTTACCAGCAGCCTGCCAGATACCATGATACTTCGCCTGTGGATTTTTGGAGGAAAGCTGCTCTATCTGAAGCTGAAAAATGACAGCATGAGTAAACTTTCCAATATTTATGTGGAAAATTTAAGACTTCAAAATATCTTAGGGCCAAATTTATCAGAAAGTGTGTCTTAGGCTATGGTATTTTCTAATATACACTTACTTACCTGGAAATAATCACTATTTATCCTGGCAGGAAATATATAAATATAGTCCTCGACTTACAACAGTTCATTTAGAGACTGTTTAAAGTTACAAGATACTGAAAAAAGTGACATTATTTACACTTATGACTGCTGCAGGATCCCCATGTTCACGTAATTTACATTCGGATGCTTTTGACAACTGGTCCATATTTATGAAAGTTGCAGTGTCCCGATGTCATGTGATCATCTTTTGTGATCTTCTGACAAGCAAAGTCAATGGGGAAGCCAGATTCACTTAACAACCGTGTTATTAATTTAACAACTGCAGCGATTCACTTAACAAATGTGGCAAGAAAAGTCATAAAATGGGGCAAAACCTCACTTAACAAATTTCTCACTTAGCAACATAAATTCTGGCCTCAATTGTGGTCGCAAGTTGAGGACCTATAATTACTTTGCTACTTTAGAATAGGCATAGGCCCCACCTAGCCTTCCAGCAACTTCTATCACCTGGAAGGTCGCACAGAAACAACACTGGCCTCGAATTTCAGAAGGCTCATCCCAAATGTTGTGCCGATTAGAAAGGGAAAATATTAGACTACAATGCTCTTCCCAAAAGCTTAGAATATTTAGAAGGAAAAGGTTACTCATCTTTTAAAGGGTCAACGTATTTTTTTTTTAAAAAAACCCGGAGTAAAAAAGCAAACCTTCAAACAGCCCTAGGTAAAAATCATTGGGCTTCCTTGCCAAAGCTGCAACACCCAAGGAAAACCGCTACTACACCGAGTTGCACAATACAAGCACAGGAGCAACTATGCTAGAGCAGGTGGGAAGGCTTTCTAGTACACTCTTCCCACGGGGCTCCTCAGATGCTTGTGGACGTGGGTCTCACAAGCCAGATATGTCAGGAAGACTGCCTTCCACTAACCTTCTCCCAGAAGCCACCTGCCTCTGATTCCATACAACTCTCATAACTACCATAGTAGCTCTGGATAGCTGCATCAGTGCCTTCAACTAAAGGACCACCTTCTGTTTTTTTTAATGGGGGGGGTCCAAGATCTTCAGGTGAAGGAACAAGTCAGCTGCGTTTCTGTCTTGATGCAAACATTATGCAAACAGCGGAGGGGGAAAAAATATAGCGGGCTCTGTCCTTAAATTATATAACCTCTGGAAACTCAAAGCTAAAGGCCAAATCAGCTCCTTAGAAGAGCGGAGGGTCCTTTAAAACCACCTTCCTCTTGATTGTCCAACGTCATAAAGACAAATACCTGAAATCGAATCTTCAGCACATCAAAAGGGCCGATCATCGCCCGAGTGACCAGTCCGGAAGCGGATCCTGCCGCTGCGACTTTCAGAGTCGAAAGGGAGCTACAGTCGGAATCCGGATCATAGCCAACCATCCCTACAAGGTCTATGGACCTTGCTCTCCATGCACGACTCCTCTTCCCGGGCACCAACACTGGTGGAGGCAAAGAAAAGGGGAAAGGAAAAGAAAAAAAAAGAAAAAGGAGTCGCATCAAGAGCGGACGCCGGAGAGCTGAGACCCGGGGGAAAGAGGGAGGGTTTTGTCTTTACAAAGAGACAACAGTGCATCTGAGCATGTTTAAAGTTGCATTCCCCGCCGCACTGAAGAGCCTCGCGCCTGCTTTGCATGGCCGTGAACCGAGCACGTGTCCTCCTCGATCAGCCTGGCCGGCGGCTAATTTTGTGGCTGCCTTGAGAAAAGAGACGCGGCAGCAACCGGCCCAGGTTTCCCCTCCCCGGGCATCTCGACCTTCTCCCCCGCCCACCCGGGACCCTCCTTCCCTCGCTCCAGCGAGAGGCTCACCCAGACCGCGGCTTCTCAGGGCAACGAAATGCGGCGACCAATCGGAGGCTTGGCGAGGATTCAACCCGACTCCACCCGAGGACCCGGGCGGCAGGTCTTGAAGGACGACCTCACGCGGCTCTCGCTCGGGATGACACAGCCGCCGGGCTCTCTGGGAAATGTAGTCTGCGATGCCTGAGGATTGAGGCGGGAGAAAAGCGGGGAAGCGATGGTTTTCTTTAAAAAGGCTCAGATGAACAGGCACAGGCCAATGCGTTTTAAGTGATCTGGGATAGAGTTCTTAAAAAAATATAACCAAAAATAGCACAACCCGGAAAAGAACTAAAATAAATAAAGGACAACTAGGCTAAAAAACAGCTTCTATACCAGAGCAATAACCATATTGAATTCTACGGTATAGTGCAATATTGGGTTTTCAGTTTCAATTATATAGAATCAGTGGTGGGTTTCAAAAATTTTTACTAGCGGTTCTGTGGGTGTGGCTTGATAAGCGTGGCGTGGCTTGGTGGGCGTGGCATGGGAAGGATACTGTAAAATCTCCATTCCCTCCCCAATCCAGGGGAAGGTTACTGCAAAATCTCCATTTCCTACCAATCAGCTGGGACTTGGGAGGCAGAGACTAGATGGGGGTGGGGCCAATCAGAATTTTTACTACTGGTTTTCCGAACTACTCAAAATTTCCGCTACTGGTTCTCCAGAACTGGTCAGAACCCGCTGAAACCCACCTCTGTATTGAATGTAAAGGATGTATGTTTGTGTTTTTATTTTTATAGTTAAAACTGAAGATGGCATTTAATTTCGTTGTATCATGTGCAATGACAATAAAGTGAACTAATGCAGATCCTTCTGGACTGCTGGACACCACTCCCCGGTAATTTATTCTCCTCGACGATCTTCGGGAAAGAAGTCTCCTATTTCTCTGGAAACATCTGTACGTGGGATGGCACAGCAAAACTTTCCGATTTTCTAGTTGCAGGGATGGGAAAGAAGGGTGGTGTGTAAAATTCAGTTTCTTGTGTGCTTTTGATTAAGGCGTGGCAGCCATGCACAACTTTTGAAGATTTTTCCCTGCCCCCACTCCACACAATCGGTGTGTGTATATATAGTTTGCACGCATAATTTAGTCCAATATCTATCAAAGGATAACATCTGTTCAGAGGATGAACCGAAATGAGTTTTCCTGTCGTTTCCACCGTTTGTATTACCTGGTGAAGTTACTTCAACAAACAGCCCCAATCTTACCCTATCAGAGTTTGAGTTTTTATTTGTAACTCCAGGTTGGGTACAAAAAAAATAATAGTATTTTTAAGCTATGCATAATTTATGAAATTGAACCTGGTACTCTTCAACTGTGTTTGATTTTAATAAGATCTGATGTTATAAGAAAGAGTTGAAATCCATTGCCATCTGAAGATGCCAAGTTTGGGGGAAAGTGCAAATCAAAATCACCACATGGCTGAATTCACACATCAAACTAAACTAGTACAAAATTATCAGTTTGTGGAGTAAGGTGTTATATTAATACATTATTCAATAAGGTATAGTTAAACAAACTATCTTAGGATAATTAGAAATCCAGACTTTTGTGTCTCACTCATCAAACCATTATTAAATAAATCACAGTAATATATGAACTCTGCCTCTTTTACCAGGTAATGCTGGTGTGGCAGTTACATCCTTCATAGATGATCTGGAATCGGTGAACTATTTTGGCAATCTAGTGTTGGAAGTTAAAACCCATCCCTCTCCTAGAAAAAAGAAATATTTTAGGATATACTAAAAAGGCAGAATATTTCCCCTAAAAGAGAAGTAGAAACTCAGAGAAGCAGAAACTCATTACCCCCACCTTTGTCAATGGGCCATTAAGGCCTCAGCATCCCCTCTGCAACACAAAGGACCCATATAGCAACAGAAACTCACCACATGGTACCTGGGAATATTACATCAGCCAGCAAGGCAAGCTAAGATCCCCACTCCCTGGGAGTCTGACAACCAATCAGGATATTCTTCCTGTGCCCCAGGAAGTTCAAAGCTCAGAGAGGGCATAAAACCAAGGCACGCTCAGCATCTTGGCCACTTTTCTGCTCAGGAACTCAAACCATGTGATCCTGTCCACCATTAAACCATCTTTCCAAGCAGTCTCTGTGTTTCCAGTGTCTTTTTCCCCACTTGGAACTGAACCCAGAAGGATATTTCTTCCAACACTAGCTAACAATAGGTTACCTCTGTTGGATGCTTATCCTACGGTTGGCGACAAATATAGCTGTAAAGACTAGAACAAAACATACAGATCTTCAGTATCTCAATGTAAGAGAATGTATAATGAACAACATGATAGAACTTGTATGTTGTGCATCAGAAGACAATGTGGCTGATCATTTCACAAAAGCACAGGGAAGTAGAAAACATATAGATACATGTGAACAGTATGGTTTAAGATTGTAAATATATTAGTCTATCCAAAGTGGAGAATGTTGGATGCTTATCCTACGGTTGGGTAGGTAATATATAGAAAACTATGTTCTGTAACTTTAACTGCTACAAAGATGATTAATTGGCTGTGCTAAGCAGACATAAAAGAAGGCAGGAAGTTCATTCACTTCTGTTCCTGCTATTAGAAGGTTGAACTGCTGAAAGGAACTGTGTCTGTGTTACTGAAGAGAACTGGAATTGTAAGCAAACTATGTTTTTGTGTTGAACCGTGATTATTTGAAGAAGTGTTATCTTTGTTTTGAGAAGCCAAGTTTGTTTTTTTACTGCAGGTAAAGACTGTTTATTTTTCTTTAAACGTTCAGAGTCTGTGAGTATCTGTGTGTTTTTGCTAAGTATCTATTCGCTGTCTGGTCCGTTGCACCACTTTGCAGAGGGCAGTTTTACCCTCAACAATCTCTGAACATAGTATAGAAATTGTACTGCTTCAAACACATTGTGCAATCGCAAAGTAGGATTGACTGCTTTGAAGAAGGGGAAAGGGAGAAGCTGTGACTTGCCTATAAATCTCTGCCATATTGAGGGGAGGGGGTGATCCCAAAGTATCATCACATCATAACATTGAAATAAAATAGCAAAAGGATTTGTGAGAGGAGGTAAATTTTCTTTTCAGAAGTATACAATATTCGTAAAACATACCAATCAGAAAAGACTGTGGACAATGCACAACAGGGAAAAGAAATATTCATAATAAACGATCAGTTTAATAAAGATACCATAGCATGCTCAGATGCCTGTCCATAATCACATCATAAACCAAAAGTTAACTTTAACAAAATGTTTTAAGAGCCTTCCAGGATGCAAGGAGGGTAGAGGCTGGCATCTTACCTGAGGAAGCAAATTCCATAATGTTGGGGCTTCCCTTGGAAAAGTCTGCTTTCTGGCTGACAACTTTGTTCCGGCAACATTCTTAGTAGCTCCTCCTTTGGAATTCAGATTGGATGGGCAGAATCATGTATGGCAAGAAAAGTCCCTGAGATGGAGAGAGAATCTGATGTGTATGTTTATGTATGTGTGTGGCATTTGTGTGCTGCTGACCCCCCCCCCCAATGATTGTGGGCATTATAAGAAGAAATCTATCCACTGTCCTCATATATAGAGAGACCAAAAAAATATATGTCCTATTCAGGTATCTCACTACCCAGAAATCCCTGAAGCCTTCAGAAGCTAAAAAAATCCAATATATAAACTTTGCTATCTTCTCTATTGAGCTGTAAACTCAACAGAATGTGGCTAGATTTATATAATAGCATACACTAAGTCAAAAACCAAAAACCACCTTATGGCTTACCACAGTCACCTGAACTTCAACATTGAACCACAAGCCTGGATTAAACACCATTCACAAACCTTGTTTTTGTTTGTGAAGGGAAACGTCATCTTTCCAGACCAGTCTAGATTGAGAAATCCCTTCTCGACAGTATTAACTCGATCCAAGGGTTCAGATGAATACATGATGAGCCAACCAGGACAGAGAATAGTGTAAGTACCTTCCTGTATCTCCGTGACATCAGCTGAAGGGCTTCAGGCAAGATGCTTGCATTGCTTGAATTAATGTACAAGTAGTCCTCGACTTACAAGCATAATTCAACTCAAAATTTCTGTTGCTAGATGAGATGGTTGTTAGGTGAATTTGCCTCATTTTATGACCTTTCTTGCCACAGTGGTTAAGTGAATCACTTCAGTAAAGTTATTAACACAGTTGTTAACAGGGAATCAGGGTTCCCCATTGACTTTGTCAGAAGATCGCAAAAGGTGATCACATGACCCCAAAACACCATAACTGTCATAAAGATGAGTCGGTTGCCAAGCATCTGAATTTTGATCACATGACCATGGGGATATGGCATGGGTGTCAAACTCGTGGCGTCACATTGCCGTCATTTGATGTTTCGTAACATTTTTTTCCCTTTGCGGAGCTGGAGTGGCCGTGGCCTGCACATGATGCATCTGGCCCATGGGCCACCAGTTTGACACCCCTGAGATATGGCAATGGTCATAAGTGTGGAAAACAGTAATAAGTCACTTTTTTCAGTGCCATTGTAACTTCAAACCTTCACTAAATGAACTGTTGTAAATTGAGGACTACCTCTATTGGCATATTTATGATTGGAGACCCCTGGAGGCTGCATTGGGGGAGAAGGGCACTCATGCTGGATCAGTTCTATTAAACCTCCCCTTCAGATCTCCAGCAAATTCTGAGGGATGAGGATCCTAATATCTACTACATGTCATCAAGGCCCTTCCTTCTATTCAGCATATGCCATGGCAGTATTAATGCAATTTTATCATGGTGTCTTGTAGATAATAAATGCTTATATGCTTCAAATGAGACAAGACACCCCAAATCAAAGCTTTGTGGACTGAAATGAAAACATATGCTACTGATCTAATATTGATGTATCCAAATGCATTTGTAGTCCTAGGACAAAATCTCAATGATTGGGCTCTAATGATCACACCCTCTACACAA